GGGCTGTCCCCCCCACGGCCCCAGGGCCCACTCACTTGTTCCACAACGTAGAAGGCGAACTGTAAACGTTGCCGCTGCAGCATGGGAATAAGGTGCCTGAAGAGGACAGGAAGATGCTCGTATCGATTGCGGAATGGGATCAGGATCGCCACCTGATGAGGAGAGGACACAGCTCTTACTCCACAGCACCAGCGGCTCCTGCTGCCGACCCCCAGGCTGGGGGCAAGACTGGCTGGGGTTATAGGAGGGGGAGCTGCACGAAACAAGGTGTCTCAGCTCTCCCATGTAGGGCTGAGCAGATTGAAACCCTTCAACTCCCACAACATGGATCTCCTGTTTACTTTTGAGGGGAACTGTTGCTTGGGAAAGATTTGACGCCACCTTGAGTGGAAGGGTGTTGGAGAATGGCTAAGAGAGCAGGGATATAATCCTGGGGAAGGCCAAAAAGAGCTAGGCCGCAGTCCCCTGGGAACGTACAGACACAGTCCTGGGAACGCACCTGGGAATGCAGTGTGTACAAGGCTCTGGAGATAGTAACTCATATACAGATAGGGAGTAACTCAGCTGGGCAGATGGCAGGGGTAACTCGTCCTTGAGGGTGAAACAAACAGGTTCAAGAAAAACAGCTAGGAATGCACCCCAGCCTGGGAAAGCAAGAGATAATCCACACAGCTGCAGCTGTGAGTAGGGAGAGTACCTGAATGCTATCTTTAGAGCCTAGCCAATTAAAAATGATGGATAATTGTACGCCTGCTTCTGCACTGTATAAAAAAGAGCCTGTGGGACAATAAAGTTGGAGCTTGCTGTATCACCCAGACGGAGTCGGCCGCTTGCTTCCCCGCGCGGAACCTTCACCTTTCCCAACAGAAGGGAGCCCTGCAATGCTCCCTTGTCACTGCAGACAGCAGGAGAGGGGACATGAAAGCAGCCCTTGTGTTCCTCATTTCTTCCTTGGGCACTGCAGCCCCAAACTTCAGAGCCCCTTACAGCATTGCTCTGCAGCTGCAGCACATCAGGGACATTCCCACTAACACCTCCCTGTGCCCAGCAGGGACACTGCCCAGCTCCCGGGTACCTTCCAGCGAGGCAGGCAGTCGCTCGGCTTCCAGTGGCCTCCCAGCTTGACAGAAGGGTCTTTAGAGAAGAACTGGGCCTAGCCAATTAAAAATGATGGATAATGATCCATGGAGGATGGATATCCTCCATGGTGATCTCGCTCATATTTACATCAATGGGGCCCTCTGGGTGGGAGATGCAGAGGAGGGTGAGGAAGTGCTGTGGTCCTGGGGTGGCTCACTGTGCTCAGGGCAGTGCTTTGCTCCATCCCTCCCTGCCCTTCATCCCCAGCACTCAGTGCAGGCAGCTGCTTCTTTCCCCAGCACCAGCAGAAACAATTCAGAAATGATGCTGGTGGAGCTTGTAACACCTCCATCCCCTCAGAGCTGTTGGATCCAGCTCTCCATCAGAGACCCACACCCACTGGACCACCCCTCTACCCCTCCCTACAGTTTTCAGCAGACAAACTCCCACACCTCATCAAAGAGCATTTGCTCCCTTTTTGGAAACATTTGCCCTCAAAAGCCCAATTTTTCACTGTAGGATGGCTTTGGTGGAAGAATTTCTGCCAGGTGCAGCTCCCTTGGTGGGGTCCAGCCTGTCTCCCACACCAGCCCCGGCACAGCTGTACCGGGCACAGCTCGGGGCTGGGGCTGGCAGCACTGCCAAGGCACAAGGGAGCCACCCTGCCGCCACTGCCCCTGGAAAAGGGCTGGCAGAGCCTTTTCACCAGCTCCCAGCACACAATCCCTCTTTTGTTTGTGTTTGCCAAGCGATGGGCTCCTGCTCCAGCAGGGAGCTGTGCCTCCGACACAGCAGGGATTAATTCCTGAGAGTGGTAAACAATGATGTCCCAGGAGGGAGCCAGCCTCCAAACAGCACTCCCATTCATCCCCAGGTGCCTGGCAGGGAAAGGTGCGGCCCTGGTGAGACTGGGAATGCCTATGTGCCCTCCAAAGCCACAGGGAACAGGAGAGGGGCACGGGGCTGTCGGGATACTACTCACTCATAGAAGGGAGCCTCTCGGGACAGGTGGTGTTGGGGAAGTAGGTAAAGTCTTCAGGAAGAAACGTTGTGGCTTGCAGAAAGGTGTCATTGTGGCTCAGATCAAGAGGATAATCTGGGTGGTTGGAAAAAAAAGAAAAGGGAAAAAGGTTTACGCTTGAGCTGTAGGTCTGTTATTTCCAGCCACCTCGAGCAGACTCCAAAGCTACTCATGGCACAGCTGTGTCCCCAATGGCACATGCTGATCCCCATTCTGGGGCAGGTGGCTGCAGAAGCCCCAAAGGAGAATTTTGGGCATCACCTTAAGGTGTCACAAACAGTTCAAAGCTAAGGAGCATGTGGCTCTTGGAAGGAAAAGATACCTAGCTTGTCCCTGAAGGACAATGGCCCAGCAAGGGGGGATGTGCTTCTCCAGCAGGTCCCTTCCCAACAGGCTCAGAGAGCAAAGTCCCCAGGCAGGTCCCAGGGCCAGCTAGGACTGTCAGGAAAATCCTGCCTGGAATCCTCCTCAAAGGATCAATAAAAACTATCACATTGCACACAGACCTTTCTCTGCTTCGTGTCGTGCAAGAGCAGAGGAGCCCCTGTGCCCCAGCAGTCACAGAAGGGCCCAGCACATTTCTCCAGCCTCCCCATTCCCTGCATCCTTCACCTCCTGGGCAACGCCCTTCCAGCCTGTTACACCTGTACATGTTCTAGGGAGGTTTTCCACTGGGACAAGTCATGGCTGGCCTGATATTTCCATTTGCTTTATCATGCTAGTACTTACCACCACGTCAGTAATATTGTTTATCTGCTCGAATAAGCAGTACCCAAACAATCTCAAGACTCAAAAAGGACTGTAAACAGAACCCAAAGGCTTTTCAAGTACGATAGATGTTATTTTGGATGTTTGATATTGCTCTAAATTTCCATAAGCAGTTTTCCCCTTGAACTCCCATCACCAGAGCACACTCTCACTAACAGCACACAGTGAAGTTCAGCTCCATTTTGCACCAAGAGTTGCCTTTCTTGCCTGCAGAACCACAGAAGGGACCACTCTTGCCTCACCAAGCAGGAAACCAATTATTGCACCTACTGGCAAATGCTGAAAAAGGTGTCACTTACTTCCTCAGTACAAGAGCAAAAAATAATTATGGGCAAAGAATAAAAGCAGATGGATGGGGACAAACACAGTGTGCTTGCAGCAAACCACCCTGAGCTTGCTCACCTTGCTGTTCAGGGTGGCATATCACATTTTTAAGGAACCTGCCCAGAAATCAAAGCCCCAGGACCCAGGATACACACATGGCAGCACTGCACAAAGAACTGCTCCCCAGCCCCTTGCTGAGGTGTGGGAGAGGCTGTGGCTCAGAAAGCAGCAGCCACTGCCTCCTCCCCAGAGCTCCCATGCAGCTGGAGCAGGGACCAACCAGAGGGGCCATGGGGCTTTCTGCTGCCCTAACTGGTTTGTGCTCTGTGCCAGCTCACCCCAGCAGCAGCATCCCTAACCCTGGATGTGCACAGATGTAACACCCACTGCTGTCTGCAGCACTGGATTGGGCAGGAGCAACCAGGAACTGCTGAGACGGTTGAGGTTTTGCTGGGTCTCTCCTGCAGCTGTACCAGGCAGGTCACACTGCCTCACTGTCCATGGCAGCACAGGGACGATGCACTAACCGGGCAGTGCCACCCACTCAGACCCCACCGAGGCACCCAAAACCAGTCATGCAGGGAAGATTTTGATCCCAGTGTTGATGTAATCCTTGTGGCCACAGCACCAAGTGCCTTCCAGATGTCACCACCACACATCATGCATCTGCTCTGATCTTCCCTGCCTGCCAGGGAAGGTCGCCCAGGGACGGTGCACAGTGCTGTCCTCACGGCTGGAGCTCTTGGAGGGATATGGACACATGCCTGTGCAGCTGGGACAGATGTGAGGCTCGAGCAAAGCTCAATATTTCAGCAGCAGCTCTGGTATCACTGGCACTAACGTGCACTGGCCCATTTCCCTGCCTGCTGCGGGAGCACACAGCAGGTTTTCGGAGCACTCAGAGCCCCACGAGCCAGGACCACAGTGGAATGAAGGCTCTCATCACCATAAGCAGCAGCAACAAAGCATCTAACCCTCCTCCCCTTTGGGGATCAGCTACTTCCTCCCCTGCCTCTGCTTTACTTGACGTTTCCAGTCTTAAAAATAGCCCGGGCTGGCCACCCTGGCTGAGTTCCTCGGGGAGAGGAGCTGACGCAGGGTGTCCAGCTCCTGCTAAGTCGATGATTCCCCTCCCGTGCCCATCCCCAGTCCAGGCACAACTGAACTGGTGGTGGCAGCCCATGCTCCTCACCGGGCTGGGCAGCAAGGACATAGCTTGTATCTCTGTCAATGAGGACATAACACTGCCTCTAAAACTGCCAGCCCTGCTGCTGCCCCTCGCAGAGCAGCGAAGCCGCCGCCTGGTGCCAGCCCTGCAGGGAGGGCATGTGCTGCCCACACCAGCCCGGAGCAGTGCCTCACCCTGTGCCACATCCACACCTCTCTGGGCCATGAACGGGCTGGCAGGGGCAGCCTGAGCCTCTGCTCCCTGCGTCCTGCCCAAAGTTCCATCTACTGTTTGTGGCAGATCTCCAGCCAAGGCACCTTGATCCGTCTCTGCCTGGGAAGAGTGAGGCTCAGGGGCACAGGCTCCTCCATGTGCTCAGGGCTCTGCGCAGGCCTCTGCCTGGTAAGGCAGTTTTCAAACATGAAACCTGATCTTTGCACTGAATTCAAAACTGTTTACCCTCAGACTGGCTGAAGCTACAAGTTGAATTCCTGGAAAGCAAAGAAGTTTTCAGCTCAAATCACATCATTTCAGACCTTTCAAGATTTCCACCCCTTAGACAAGTCAGAAGCATTTGAATTTTTTATATATAAAGAAATAAATATCATTTATATAGAGAGTGTATATATGTACACAGTATTTCTCTATATACTAGGTATTTTCGTGTTACATATATATTTGTATATATAAAAATAGAAGAGACAATTAACCAAAATTCCCACCCTGCATTTATCAGCATAAATTCACCCTAACTTTAATAGAAATGGAACCCCTGATCCAAATGAGTTACTCAAGAAGTACCTGAGTCGTTCACACTGCTGTTCCTCTTGGCATAGGCACCGCGGAGCACCTGCTCGTACATCTGAGCTCCTATAGTTCGCATGTTTTCACGGATCATGATGCCTTGGGCTTGCATCATGAAGAGGTAGGTGTTCACTGCGAGGGAGAGAGAAAAAGGAGTATTTCTATGAGCATCAGCTTTTGTGGGAAAGAGAAATCAAAGTCTTTTGGAACCATTCCCAGCCTCCTGCTGGGAATGGTTTCAGCTCCCTCCTGCCAGGAGGATCCCTGGGCTGCACGTGCCCTGGCTGCCCGACGGGAGCTGGGAAGGGCACGGAGTGGGGAAGTGGAGGCGTAAGGCACGTTTGGAAACCCGTCTGGTGAAAAGGGGAGCGCACCCAGCCAGACCTGACACCCAGGCTGCAACGCAGCACCGCAGCCCCAACAACAGCACCTTCTGCTGCTTAATTAGGGAGGTTTGATTAGGAAATATCAGTGGAACAGGAAGCCAGGCTGCGTGCCTGGAGAAGGGCAGGCACTCCCAGGGCCTGGCAGAGGTACCGCGACAGGCACCACGAAGAGCAGCACAGCACCAGGCTCCGAGCCCCGTGCCCTGGTGGGCAGTGCGCTGGGGCACGAGCCCCGTGCCCGGGGCAGCCCCCAGCCAGGCTTCCTCCCCTCTCCTCTCCCGCTGACCCTGTGCCCTGGCACGGCTCAGGCTGAGCCTGCTTAGGTTTCAGTTTAAGCTGACACCTGGCTGGCAGGGGCAGGCCCCAAAGCAAACAGCAGCAGGCACAGCCCCGTGCCACCTGCGGGGACAGCCACCTACAGGGACAGCAGGACAGGTACCCTGTGTGCCCCAGCACCCCTCGCCAGCGTCGCTGCGCCAGCCACAGCCCCCTCGCAGAAGTTTTAGGCTTAAGAATGAAGAGGAACTCAAAAAAAAAAAATCTTGATTTTAAGATAGGGAGGAGGAGCAACCTAGAAGGCCAATTCTGCACAAGTAATTAAAAAACCAGGTCAAAAGACACTACAGGAGGGATGAAGAGGGCACTGGGCCAAGGAAACAACAGAGACCCTGCTCAGAGGACAGCAGCAGCTGATGCAATGTCACCAGGAAACATCCAAAACAGACAGGTCGTTTCTCCAGCAGGCATAGCACAGCCTGAAACCGGCGGCTGGCCGGGGCCGGGGCCAGGAAGGTACAGCCACGGCTGAGCCACTGGGAGTGCAGATTAGATAGGACACCATGGAGACAGCACTGCTCCTGCACAGCAAGGGTGTCCCACACTACAGTGCCAGGGGTACACACACTGCCACACTGCCCATGGGCTGCCCAGGTGCATTTCCCACTCCCAACCACATTTTGTTTTCACACAGCAAAGTCACTAGCTGAAAGGGGGATGGAGCCTCATGCCATGCCAGGGCCCCCATGCCATGCCCTGCTGCTGCCCATGCCCAGCCCATCTCTGAGCCACGGGGAATCACCAGGAGGTCAGCTGCATTGCCTGCTTGGTAACTACGTGCCTTGAAATGTGATTTAAATATCCATTTCCAGCCTCTCCCTTCCCACACAGGTACCCTTTGTGGTGGGGCCAGCGATGGTACCTTAAGCCAGCAGCTACAGCAGCAATGAGCAGCAGCTGCCTCAGCCAAAGCTGCACCCACAGCCTCGAGGGTCACCCACCTGTTCAGGGCCAGCTCTGCAACCCAGAGTGACCGCTGGGGCAGCTGCTGACAGATACACATCAATGTGTGGCTCTGGTGCAGTTTCTTGGCAAGATACTCCTGTTGCAAGAGGGCACAGAGTGCTGTTCCTGCTCAGAAAGACAGGGGATTTGCTCTAGCAGATGCCCAGGGATAAGGCTCAAGGAAAAGTTGGCATTTTGATATGGCACCACAGGCCAGAATGAAATGCAGCTGAAATCCCCCATGCAAAGCCTTACACCCAGCCCCAAAGCCTTCATAAGCTCTCACTTGCCTCCAGCTCAGAGCTCAGCATGAAATCACCTCCCAGTGCCAGCAGTCCAGCCTTGCCAGGCAGCTGCCCAGCAGGACGTAGGAGAATGGGAGGAAATGGGCTGTTTAGGGGTTAGTGGAACAGCAAGTGATGTGATGGAGCTGGTGTGGCCTCGGGTCTAGGCCAGGATGCACTGGACAGCCCCAGACCCATCTGCCTGTGCAGGTCTCGGAGATGACCATGACAAGACATAGAAGTTGGGCAACTTCTCTTTCAGCTTATCAGCCCATATCACAGCTCTGCCTCAGGTGCAAAAGTGGCATAGTAAGTGTTGATGCTTGTGGCATCTGGCTCCCAAAGTCACATCCTGCCCCAGTGACAGCATCCACCGCAGCTGCTGGCACAGGCCGTGCAAGGCTCTACCAGGAGGCAGCACAAACCAGTGCATCCAGCCATGGGAACAGCATCCTCCAGAGCTGAGCAAGCACAGCAGAGCACGGACTCTCTGCGAGAGCAGCACCACAGCCTCACCACAGCCATCAGACAGCAGTGGGGGTTAGGAGCTGCCCAGGGCCCTTCCCAGAAACCCAAAGGCTCGTCAACAGCCAGGCACAGTTTCTCTCCTCTGCACAAAAGGCAGCTGAAGCCACTCAAGCGATGTTTATCAGGCCCAGGCTGCTGCCACAGGAAGGGCCTGCACCTTCCAGCTCGCACGGGGCTGGAGTCAGTGCCGAGGCACAACTTGCTGATGCCCAACAAGTAATTTCACTTTCTACTTCATTATGCTTCGACTTGCTGGGTAAAGCAGAACCAGGCTTGGTGAAGCATGAAGGAACGGGAGAGACAAATCAGCATCCCAGTCCTGGTTAATGTGAGGAAGAGGGAGGCTGGCCGGGTGCAGTGAAAGCGCCGTTTGTTCCCTCCGCAGACAGCAGGGCCTCACCACAGCCACATGACACGCTCCGGGCCGGAGGATCCTGAGCAGCCACAGAGCCACCCCAAGCAGCCAGCACCAACAGCACCAGCTTTGTGCTGGGCAGCAGTTGCCTTTTCACACATTAACCCCTTTGAGCAGATCACTAAGGAGACACCTGGCCAGGGATGAGCCGTGCCATCAACATGCTCAACACCGACACCGAGAGCCCCCACAACCACACCAACCCCAGCACGGGGACTGGAGTCCTTTCTCCCGCCCCCAAAACGAGCCACCACCATGAGATGAGCTTCAGAAACGCCATGCTTACCCAGGACATGCAATTCACTCAGGTCAGAAAATCAGATTTTAAACACATTAACTGCACACATTTCACTGCCTGTGCACACACAGTGCCTAGAGCAGCTCCACGGGGCTGCCACGGCCAGGGCTGGGGCTGCACCAATGTTTGGGAATCGCTGGACCAAGCTTAGACTCGCTCCTGCTCCCTTTACGGCACTTTTATGAGCAAATAGGCCATGTTTTACACTTACCATGCCTGACCTGGCTGACCCCACGCAGCGCAGGGCGCTGTGCCCGAGAGGTGCCGGAGCTGCCACCAGCAGGGAAGGAGCAGCCGATCGATCACCCCCAGCACTGCGGCCCAGGCTCACCACGCGCTCGGCCTGAGCTGCGCTTCAGCAGAAAGCAATCCTCCGTGCTGGGAGATACTGCTAATCTAATCACACAGGATGATCTCAAAATTACATTGGCCTCCTGCCTTTCTTCCATCTGAGCACGCGGCACTTAGAGCACGTACGCGCAGCGATAACGGCCAGCGACAGGCACTGGGCAGCGAGACAAGGACGGGAGAGCGATGAGAGGGGGAGATGTCCCTTCTTCTGCCAGTTTCCAGCAGACCCTCAGTGCCCACACAAAACTCAAGCAAAATGTAAGAATCCATTCGTCCAAATCACTGCCTTAAGATTATTGCTATGGTTCATTAAAGGACGAGTCAACCCCACTATGATTTGCACACATGGAAACCACGACAGCTCGTCACCAGCTGGAGCAGAGGCACAGAGCTGCACCCCAGGGCCACGGCACTCCTCGCTCAGGGTGCCGCGTGCCCGCTCACAAACAGAGAGGGCAAGTGCTCACTCAAGCCAGGAGTGGATGCAACAACTTCAGCCAGGGAGGTAAAGTCCAATTATATAAATGAGCACTGAAGTCTTCCTGTAATCATTTCTCTGTTGGTATTTTCGGAGCACTTCTAATCAAGAAACAGCTGACTCTCTCATGGAAAATTAGTTTCATCGTGCTGATATGTACTAGAAGAGGCAACAGGGTAATTTGCTGCTCGGCAGTCGATTTGGAAGAGGACTGAGCGCGATCCATGCCAGCTACCGACACAGGAAGGGGACAGACCCGACAGGTCTCGCTCCTGACCCCGACACGCTTCCGCTGCCTGCGGAAAGGACCTTCCTCATCACCCCCGGCACAGGGGACAGCAGAGTGCCCCAGGCTTCGTGCTGGGACAGACAGCCACCGGCGCTGGGGTCAGGAAGAGGGGCGGGTGGCTCACAGCAGCCCCCCATGCCTGCAGCAGTATCAGCGCCCAGCACAGCAGCCAGGCTTTCCTGAGGAAGGAGCAGGTCTTCCTCTGCTTTGAGATTTCAGGCTCTCTGTCACATTCAGCATCTTCCTGGTTCATTAGTCCACCCGTGCTGCAGAAGCACAGAGGGGCTGTTTGAGTTGGTCATGGTCTCACTGCTACGTGCAGCCTTCTCCTACCAGCACCCGGAGCCCTGTTCCAGCAAGGGCAACCCCTGCCAGGCCCTGGAGCCCCATTTCAACCAACACAGTCCCACACCAAGGCACAACCAGGGAAACTGCCGCTGAACGCTCTGCCAGACGTTCGGAGCAGGCACGATGTGCCCAGCAGAGCTTGTGGGATGCTTGTGGGAGAGGTGACAGAGACTGGGAAGGGGTGACAGTCCCACAGGCAGCAGGGATGGGTGCTCAGGTCACCCCCAGCACCCTGCCAGGGCTGGGAGATCCTGCCCACTGCAGACACCTCCGCAGGGCCCAGAGACACCGAAACCAGCAGAGTCATGTCTACGTTAAGCCTTTTGCTAAGCTCTCCCAGCAGATCCTCAGCATCAATCCAGCTCCATTAGCATTAGCAATACAAAGGGGTTTAATCAAACTAAGCCTTTAAGGCACAGATAGACTGTTAGGATAGTCTTAACTCGTAAATAACCCAACTAGGAAATGCAGCAG